GGCCATGCATGACTTCCCACCAAACCACACATTGACTGCTAGGTATCAGGCATTGCTAAACAAACCCTCACACATACCTCACATGTATTCCTAGGTCTGGATCTAGATGTAACCCACACAATCCTTTATGAACAGCTACTTATTAGGTCATACAGGACACTCTCTTGCCACTATACTCAAATACTCTGCTAGTATTGGTCCCCGGTTGACACCCTAATATCACTGAAATTTCACATACACTGTTAGGGTTCACACCCTCTTGAATATAACACCCAAACACTATAATCTACAATATTAGCATCAGGGCCCAAAGGATATGACATTTCATCAACCCATATATCCCTGTTGGATATAAGACCTGCTGGGCATTCCAAACTCCATGGCAACACCTACAAGGCTAGCTGAAGGTCCTGGAATGCACACATCACCCTGCAGCTGCCGCACATGCACTGCTAATTGTCAGGCTCTGCTGCACCCTCAGTGCCTCACACACACTCTGAAGTGTCAAGCACACTCGGACATCACATTGCACACTGCCAACTGACTTCAAAATGTGATCAGACCTTGACTGACACTAGGTCAGCCATGAGCTGACACACACTCAGTAGGGATTGTGCAGAGCTTGACACCCCATTCTTCCACTGCTCCCCTCTGATGACATACAATTAGCATCAAACACACTGGACACACCACTACCCCTGTGACCACACATCCACTCTAGGTACCAGGTCCAGTTTGACCTCATACCACACATTAGTCGACAGCCATCAGAGCATGCTGGGAACATTCCCTCTGTCAGGTCTTGCACAATACCTAACAATTAGCATTGACGGACCACCTCCTTCTGCTGAAGACACATCCACACTGCTAGGCATCAGCTTCTACTGGACTCCTTCCTATGCTATACCATGTGCTGGGTCTCAGGCTCTACTTCTAGTTACTGGGCCATGCTGGAATTAACCCCTGTCCACACCACAGTGCATATAAAGTGCTGTGTGTCAGGTTCACTTGAACACAAGCTTCATTACATATGACTTGCTAGGTACCAGTCAATGTTGACACACACCCTTACCCCCTATGTGCACTACTGGCCCAGTGAACACTGGAATTTTAAGGCTCTTCTAGACACCTCCATCACTGACATATCAAGTTTCTTGCTATCAGACACTACCACTCTGTGCAGATTTCAGTCATGTATATTAAAGTACATTGTATGCATATACAATAATTGGCTTCAAGCCTTATCCAAAATAGCACCATTCTGCTGACAACATACACTACCAGACAGGGGCATGGGTCTAAGCACAGCTGAAAATTAGCAGGGCTATTGTGGCAGCAGGATGGGTGAAGGAAGAGAAACTTATTAGATGAGGCCTGTTATCCTGCATAATATCCGGGTTAGGACCGGGGAGTCCTGAAGATGTGATACACAGTAGGGCATCCAGGCCTCAGGCAGGTGTGCAGCAAAGCCTGAAACCAAACAGTGTGTTTCAGGCTATAGTGGCAGGGGTAGGGCTGTCCAGCTGGGCCTGGTAACTAGTGGGACATGGATGGGTTTGGCAGCAGGACTGGGGGGCAGTAGCTAGCAAGGCTGGTTGTGTGGGCAGCCCCTGATAGTGGGATGAGTCTCTGTGGGAGAAGCAGGAAGATGCTCTACAGTGTTTCTTATGAACACAACAGTGTATGTTGGGTGGCATCAGTTGGGAGCTACATAGATTCCTTAGGACATGACACCTAGCAGTCTATGTAGGATATCAGGGGCATTTGCAGCCCTGTCTGTTCAATAGTAGTGTATGTGGAACAGTGCTAAAGATGATGATATTATAAGGAAAAGTGTGTGTGTGCCCACATGTGTGCATGCATGCACACGTGTTTAAACTTGTGATGAGTGGTCAGAGAGTGTGCTGTATTGTCATGGGGATAGCTGTCTTAGAGAAAATGAGTCAGTGACTAGGCAAATAGAAGCCCAGGGTCAGTATATTATTAATGAATTTGATCTGGGAAAGTATCTTCAAGACGTGGACTTGAGAGATTTGGAAGAGTAAGGGTAGAAAACTAGAAATGTGAGGCTTGATGAATACAGGCCTAGGGGAGGAATTTGACTTTATTTTTACTGTACCAAGAAGCCAAGTTTTCTCTTTGCCAACAACACTAGGTATCACCATCTGTATGGTGTCCCCACACTTAAAACCCACCCCCACATTGCTAGGTGTCAGCGTCTATGTAGAAAAATGTCTTCTACAGCAGGTGCCAAACACACATGTCTAGGCGTGAGGTCCGGTGGGTCAACTGTCCATTAAAGAAAATGCTCTTCTCATACAGTTGGGTAGCTTGTTCTCCATGACATCAACAATGCAATGGCTAAAGCCCCATGCTCAGGGCTGGGTATCTGGTGTTTTTAAGGATCCCCTTACCTACAGCAGCAGAAGCCATAAACAGACGCCCACATACTATGACACAAGTGTCAGGGGCCAGTATTTATCTCTTCCCATACAACCATATAGACATTCATGGTTAGATCACATTCCTGATAGGAATCACCTCAGCTACAGCAGTGCCACACACCCAGAACTAGGCATCAGATCCTGCTGGGCACCTCTTCCCCTACATCCAAATGACCACACAGTTACACAGCTAGTTTTCTAGTACTGGAACCCCTCCCCAATAGTCAAATGCCTTGTACACAGCCACACACTCACAAACACACTCAGGCACAAATGCTTGTATGATCCCATGCACGTACTCATGCACTTTCATCTAGCTGTCATGTCAACAAGGTCTCCACCATTCAACCAAAGCCCTATTTACACACAGCAATCAAAGTGCTGCCCTTCTGAATGTCCATCCCCTGCAGCCAAACACATACACAGAGACAGACAGAGACACAGAGACAAAGATACAGACACAGAGTCTGACAAAGATAAAGACACAGAGTCTGAGGTCAGGTGCTGCTGTTCCCATTCCATAACAGACAAAGGTGTCTACTCAGGGCTAGGTGTCAGGTCCTGATACCTACCTCTTTTTCTATATTCATAGTGCAATATTCTTACACAGCTAGTTTACCAATATGCACCCCCTCCCCTATAATCAAATGCT